TTTTATGGGGTCTTTGCCTGGTTTTGGGATCAGGATAATGCTGGCTTCATAAAAGGAGTTTGGAAGTTTTCCTTCTGTTTCTTATTTTTTGGAACAGCTGCAGTAGAATAGGTATTATTTCTTCTTTAAATGTTTGGTAGAATTCCCTTAGAAAGCCCTCTGACCCTGGACTTTCGTTTTTGGGGAGATTTTGATTACTGCTTCAATTTCATTACGAGTTACTGGTCTATTCAGATTGTCTATTTCTTCCTGTTTCAGTCTTGGTAGTTTATAAGTTTCCAGGAAGGCATCCATTTCTTCCAGGTTATTTAATTTGTTGGCATACAGTTGCTGGTAGTAATTTCTAGTAATTGTTTCTATTTCCTTGGTGTTAGTCATTATGTCTCCCCTTTCATTCATGATTATATTAATTTGGGTCCTTTCACTTTTTATCAATCTTATTAATTTTTTATCAATCTTATTAATTCTTTCAAAGAACCAGCTTCTAGTTTTGTTGATCTCTTCTACTGTTTTTCTGGTTTCTATTTCATTGATCTCTGCCCTAATATTTATTATTTCTCCTCCTGCTTGGTTTAGATTTTATTTGCTGTTCCTTATCCAGTTCCTAATATGTAGGGTTAACTTGTGCATTTGGGATTTTTCTAATTTTTTGAGAGAGGCTTGGATGGCTATGTATTTCCCCCTTAGGACTGCCTTTGCAGCATCCTATAGGTTTTGGACCAATGTGTTTTTGTTCTCATTGGTTTCCATGAATTGTTTTAAGTTCTTCTTTAATTTTCTGGTTGACCCATTCATTCTTTAGCAGGTTGCTCTTTAACTTCCAAGTGTTTGAATTCCTTCCAAATTTTTTCTTGTGATTGAGTTCCAGTTTTTTTTTTTAAAGATTTTATTTATTTATTTGACAGAGAGAGATCACAAGTAGAGAGAGAGGCAGGCAGAGAGAGAGAGAGAGAGGGAAGCAGGGTCCCTGCTGAGCAGAGAGCCCAATGTGGGACTCGATCCCAGGACCCTGAGATCATGACCTGAGCCGAAGGCAGCGGTTTAACCCACTGAGCCACCCAGGCGCCCTTGAGTTCCAGTTTTAAGGCATTGTGGCCCAATATGCAGGGAATAATCTCAATCTTTTGGTATTGGCTGAGACCTGATTTGTGACCTAGTATGTGGTCTATTTTGGAGAAAGTTCCATGTTCGAGAAGAATGAGTATTCTGTTAGTTTAAGGTGGAAAGTTCTGTATATATCTATGAAGTCCATCTGGTCCAATGTGTCATTCAAAGCTCTTGTTTCTTTGTTGGTCTTCTGTTTAGAATATCTGTCCAGGGGCACCTGGGTGGCTCAGTGGGTTAAAGCCTCTGCCTTCGACTCAGGTCGTGATCCCAGGGTCCTGGGATCGAGCCCCGCATCGGGCTCTCTGCTCTGTGGGGAGTCTGCTTCCCTCTCTCTCTGCCTGCCTCTCTGCCTACTTGTGATCTCTCTGTCAAATAAAATAAGTAAAATCTTAAAAAAAAAAAAATAGAATATCTGTCCAGTGTTGAGAGTGGAGTGTTAAAATCTCTTACTATTAATGTATTATTGTCAATCTGATTCTTTATTTTCATTCGCAGCTGGCTTATGTAGTTAGCTGCTCCCATTGGGAACATAGATATTTACAATTGTTAGATTTTCTTGTTGGATAGACCCTTTGAGAATAATATAATGTCCCCCTGGATCTGTTATTACAGTCTTTGGTTTAAATTTTAATTTTTCTGATGTAAGGATTGCTACTCCAGCTTTCTTTTGAGGTCCATTGGCATGAAAAATGATTATCCATCCCCTCACTTTCAGTCAGGTTCAAAATGAGTCTCTTGTAGACAACATATGGATGGGTCCTGTCTTTGTATCCAATCTGTCAGCCTGTGCCATTTCATGGGAGCATTTAGGCCATTCACTTTGAGGGTTACTACTGAAAGATACGTGTTTATTGCCATTCTATTGTTTGTAGAGTCCCTATTTCTATGGATTGTCTCTCTAAATTTCTGGTCCATATTACTCTTGGGGTGATATTACTCTTTCTTCTTTTATGAATCTCCCCTTAGTATTTCTTGCAGAGCTGACTTGGTGGTCACATATTCTTTCAGTTTCTGCCAGTCCTGGAAGCTCTTTATCTCTCCATGCATTCTGAATGACAGCCTTTCCAGATAAAGTATTCTTGGCTGTGTGTTCTTCTCATTTAGTGCCCTGAATATGTCTTGCCAGCCATTTCTGGCTTGCCAGGTCTCTCTGGACAGGTCTGACATTATTCTGATGTTCCTCCCTCTGTATGTAATTGTTCCCCCTAATTGCCCTTAAGATGGCTTCCTTGGTTCTAAGATTTGGGAGTTTTACTATTATGTGCCAGGGTGTTGGTCTGTTCTCCTTGACCTTGGGGGATGTCCTCTCTGCCTCTAGGACATGAGAGGACATGTTCTCCAAATTAGGGAAGTTCTTAGTTCAAATATATCTTCTAGTCCTCTCTCTCTCTCCACCCCCTCAGGGATCCCAATAACTCTGACATTGGAACATTTCATTGTATTGTTGATTTCTCTAAGTCTGTTCTCATGGATTTTAAGCTGTTTGTTCCAGGCCTCTTCCTGTTCCTTCTTTTCCATCAGTTTATCTTCTAGATCACTAATTCATTCTTCAGGCTCATTTACCTTAGCAGTTAGAGTATCTAGTTTAGACTGCATCTCATTCATAGTGTTTTTCAGTTCAGACTGATTAGCTCTCATTTCAACCTTTAGAGATTCAATGTTGCCATCAATGGCTTTCTTAAGCCTAGCTACTGTCTTCATAATTGTTACCCTCAAGTCTATTTGAGACATCTTGCTTATATCTATATCCATTTGGTCTGTGGGAGAGGCCGTTGTCCCTGGTTCTTTTCTTTGTTGGGAGTTCCTACTCCTAGTCATTCTGTTGAGTGGTGGTTGAGGGAATGTGCAGAGTTGAAAATATCAACCACAATCCACACAAGGTGCACCCTCTTGATGACAATCCTTTGTCCCTATAGAGATCCAGACATATAATCTTACATTGCAGGCTGATTTTGTGGGTGTTCAGAGTAGCCTGGGACATACCTAGCTAAATTCAGGGGACCAGTTGAAACAGAGTCCCCCACTCCTCCACCATCTTGCCCTTCTCTTTTTCTGAATTCTATTGGATTTACAAGACCCATTTCTACCCTTTACCTCTCCTTGTTTGAGATGGTCTAGGCCACATTTCTATTCTTCTAGTAGTCACCTTGAAGTTTTTAACATAGTATTTTCCTAGCAGAGTCTAAAGTTACTCAGTATTTCTCTTCTAAACATGCCTGCTTTAAGCCCATCAGAGCCCACTTTAACCACCCATTGAACACCCGCAAATGCTGCTCAAGCTAATCTTACTATCTTTGTCTTAGAGTTTAGATTTTACCACTTTTAAACAGTTTTTTTAATTTATTTAAAACCAGTAGTTAATCAAATATACTTATTATTCTTTAAAGGCCATTGAAATGATTTTTGAGAAAAGAAGGCCCAGTGCCTGCCTGACACAGAATAGGTGCTCAGCAAATGGAATCACCCTACCCCACCTTCTAGCCCACACACACAGATGTCTCTTTAACACTAGATGTGACTGTTCAGCAGGCAGAAATTCCCCTGCGTTGGATCCATTTCAGGGACAGTTGTCAAAGACTGACCTCTCCTTACGTTAACTTTGTGAGTACTGTACTTGACTGTGTAGGAAGCTAAACAGCGCAGGATTAAATGTTCTCATTTCTGAGCTGTGAAGTGTTGAAACTGATCAGGAAATGAGGCAGAATGTCCATCCTTTGGGAGAAGAATCAGCCAGTCTATGTTGCTGCCGCTCTTGGCTGCCAATTGGAATGCAGCTGTTAAGGCAGCTGCTTAACTCTTTGCCCAACTTGAAAGGACACTGCCAAGTGGCAAATATTTTTCATAACAGCATTTTACTTTTGCTAAGAACAGCAGTGCATTTTATTGTGCTCCAGCAGGGTGCCAAACATGACAAATTTATTACTCAGCAGGCTCACAACCTAGACTGAGCATGAATGCTCATTTCTGTTTTTAATATTGATAGAGTAAGTAGTCCCCAAAGGAAGTCTCTACAAAAAACATCTCTACCGCTTAATTATCCATTGGAATGATAACAGATTAACTTGTGAAAATGAAATAGCTCTGAAAGGAAAAATGAAAACCTAGAAATGTCCAAGGAAAAAGGGAAAGGTTAAATATTTTAAATCTCTCTAATATAACCAAGAGTTATTTTACCCCACCTGTCCAGGACAGATGAGGGCAGCAGTAACACAGGAAACACATCATCTTCTGCATCCCCTGCAATTCATAGGTCCCATTCTGGGTCATGCAGTTAATCTATGTTGTTAATTAGAATATTGACACAAAGTACTTAGAAAACAACTGCATTGCATTTGACAGGCTATGAACTGGGTGGAGTAGGGCTGGGGTTTATGAACTATTTTATTTAATGGTAAAAGTAATAAGCCAAATACAAACATTCAAAATAAAGAACAAACAGTTAAATCCTTAAGTATGATTTTCTTCCAAACTCCAAAGTGCATGGATCATGATCATGTTAGGTTGATTTCCATACCTGTACACACCAACTGTTTGTTTCACTTGAAGTGATTCTAGAAGAAAGCCTTAACCAACATTAATAACATTTAGTGTGTAATTCCCACAAGACTTTATGAAGACTAGAGGGGTTGGACCAGAGGGATACATTCTCATTTTAATAAACCATCATCAAAGCTGGAGTGGAGATGTTTCTGATGGTGAACTGGGCTGAACAAAGGAATAGTCAATGGAGGTTCTAATTTCTTTTTTCACTACTGTTTACTAAATGGTCATCAAATCATAAATGACAACAGTCTAGTCAGCCTGTTTCCTCAAATTGCAAAAGCATACATTTTCACAAAGTTGACATGATTTTTTGAAGAAAGATAGACAAGCTTTGCACTCTTGTTTTTCAGGGATATAGTAAAGTGGTAAATGCAAATCATGGATGAAATTTATAAGATCGCTTCCACAGAAAGAATCCAGCAGTTAGAAAAAGAACTGGCTATGCAACTGACTGAACTAAAGTCTGAGATAGAAGAACAGGAGACTCATCCAGCTTACAGGTAAATAGTAGTAGTGAGAGGGCATGGTCTTCAGGGCTTTTGCCCCTACTTTCACCCCATAATCTCCATCAGCTTCCTCTTCTTTTTATACAGACAACTGGCATTATCTCAAGCTAGACTTTATGGCTGTCTGTGTTACCTGTATTCTAGAATTGCCAAGGCATTTAGAGGCAATGTCTTACCAAAGAAAATAGAAAAGTGCTCTTACATTTCACAAATACCATTGTCTTAAAGTTCCAGAAGCTATTATAGAAATCATACTCATTGAAAAGAGATCTTATTTTACCCAGAAATGTTCTCATTGAATTTGACCTCGTTTTTGACCTCTTTATATATTGTCCTAAGAAAGGCTTCCTGAAGTCTCTTATCTTTTAGAATAGAGTGATGGGAAATCTCTGGATCCTTGTATTTCTTTACTCCCCCAAACCACTAAACACCACTAAACACCACACCTAGAAGAATCTACCTATTACATTGACAAATACTGAGCAATTTCTGCGTGCCAGGTGTTGTGCTAGGTTCTGGGGTCCAAGGCAAATGTAAAGTGTCCACTTCTAATAATCACTTTAGCATTCTCATTCCCCTCTAGATTGAAAAAAATTATTGAGAACTGTAGGATAATGGTGCCTTGGTTCTTTTTCTTTTTCTTTTTTTTTCTTTTCTGCATTTGTTCATCAATTTGCTCTCATAAGCCCAAGTCTTTGCAGTGGTTAAGTGTCTCATAAATGCTTGCTGAATGAATAAATGAATGAATGTATGTTACATAAACAATACTTGATGAACACATAAGTGAATTTCTTTTTTGTGGGTTGACGTACCCACTACCAATCTCATTCATGGACACTTCGAGATTAACTGAAATGAAAAACATGATTTGAGTAAGAGAAGGTTTGGCAGCTAAGCCGAGGACACTGCCCAGTATTCCAGCATGCCAAAGAAATTTGAAGACAAGAGGGCAGGAAAGGGATGGCTTCCTCTGTTTCCCTGACTGCCTGTTCCCTTTCTTGTTGGTTACTGGTTCTTGACCTCCATGAGGCTGCCACCAGGATTCAGGTACCCAGTTCTCACAGAAATTATAGCTTTGATTTAGTAATGCTTTTACTCTTAAGGCCCTTTCAGAGCTTGCCTCATTTTTTTTTTAGTCAAAGCCAACATGTGAGGATATAAGGGAGACATTATCTCCAACATCAGCTGGGAATTCAACACAAATGGTTCAATGACTTGCTTTGACTCATGTGGCTGAGGGACCTCCTGACTGGTCTTTTAACAAGACCACTGCACCCAGTGAGGGAATGGCTAACAAGTGTACAAACTAATAGTCTATTTTCATTTTTCCTTAAAACTTACCCATGGGGACTAATAAGGTTGTACAAACATGATTAACCTAAACTCTGCTGCCTATAAACCCTTTCAAATCTCTAGGTGGCTTCTTACATGTGTTTCACAGCTACTTGCTATGGCTTCCTTGTTACTGTTTGCAAAGTTTCATCTTAAGACAGTGATGTCTACACCAGAGGTGTTATCCCATGGTGTTTCCAAAGCTGCCAAGCCTTGGGGTGGGTCTTGCCCCAAATGGGGAGAGCTCCCTTCTTCCTGCTACAGGATTCTATGCCATTCCTGGGTCGCACGGCAGTACTGCTTGTGCCTTCTCATGTCAGAGCCCATTCTGCCAACAACCCCTTTGTGACTAGGCTCAGATAGTAGAATTTGGTTAAAATAATTTCCAAGGTATTTCATGCTTGACAAATTAGCAAGAACACAAAAATAAAAACATTCTGTTTAAATGATAAGATACTAATTTTATGTAGGGTTCAAGATAGATATCTGATAAGCACTTGGTAGAGCTGAGGCTACTGGGGGAAGTATAGGTAAGGGAAAGAAGAATCACCATTGTGCCTCTTCCTTTATTCTGGAATTGAAACCAGACAGGTAAACCAAGGGTTGTATGAAAGACCGTGTTTGGGGTAAAGGAGAGGAAAATTGGCCCAGGGAAAAGGTTAGCAAACATGAGGTATACACAAGAGAGATTCAGACTGAGACAGAAGCATGTGGTTTTTACGTGCTCTCAATAATCCAGTATAATATGACATAGTTATGTTGCAATGAGCAGTTGTGAAGAGTTACACATTAATCAGGGCCTGTCTGTAACTTCATTTATGACAGTTTCTATAACTACAGCGTCTATTGCATAAATCTTTCTACAGCTCTGTTCGAATACCAAAGGACATTTCTTACTTCAGAAGAGAAAGGGAACTGGCTCTAAAGAAAACTTTACAGGTTAGTAGGAGAGCATGATTGTAATACACAACTGCATTGTTAATACAGCAAGATGTTGGATTTTGCGAACGTTTTGCAAATAATCAGCTGATGTTATTGACAGTGTTATGAAAACGAAATAGCCCAATGCTACTAGATCAGAGCAGGCCACTACTTCTTTGGAGATACCTACTTTTTGTGATGTTTCAAAATTTTACTGTTTCTTGATTTGTGATATTAAGATTTGTTATACGGAAGTTGAGGTATAACAGTGTGATGTGTTGTGTAAAATCTATCAGAAATTGTATGTCATTTGCTTTCATAAACAATGATAATCTTACTTCCTTATTTCTTTTTGTGGGCCTGCTCTGTTGCCCTGGGTTCAGGTGGCTGAGTCAAAGCCGCTTGTTGTTCAAGCAGATGTCATGCAGAGGGAGCTAGAGAGCTGCCTAAGAAGAGAGTACACCCCGGAAAATTTACCTTTGCTTCTGTTGCAGGTAAGTCCTGTAGCAATCTTGAAAAAGAAATCTGGAAATTAATAGAAATGTATGAGGGAAGTTGGCTTTCTGGTATATCCTCTGGCCAGGGTACACTTTTCTCTACCTGTGTAGTTTGCAGAACTTAATTAGTATAAATTCTGTTCTTTCTTAGAGACCCAAACCATAGTTCAGTTCAATTTAGTTATAGTCACTCTACAATTGACTATTGGTTACTCTCTATGCTGGTATTATGAGGCAATACAATACTAAGAAAGTCTCAGTCCTAAAGAGCTCTTGGCTTAGCTAAGGAAGATATTTATGGAAATATCTTTTAGAAAATAACTCAAAATGTGGTAGAAAAGTTTTTCCTTTTTTTGAAAGATTGTATTTATTTATTTATTTATTTATTTATTTGAGAGAGAAAGAGAGAGAACAAGAAGGAGAATGGAGGGAAGGAGAAGCAGACTCCTCATTGAACAGAGAGCTCATTAAACATGGGGCTTGATCTCAGGACCCCAGGATCATGGCCCAACTGAAGGCAGATGCTTACCCGACTGAGCCACCCAGGGGCCCCAGAAAATGTTTTCTGTAAGGATTATTATTGCAGCATTATAATAAAAGTGAAAAAATCAGAAATGCCTACATATCTAACACTAGGAGAAAGAGTTAAGAAAAACAGTATGATACTTGATAGAATATTGTTCTACCGTTAAACATTTTTGAGCATAAGAAATTATTGTTTTTATGTAACATTAGTGAACAAAAGCTGGCATGTCTGTGTATGCCATAATAATGGTCACATAATATGCAGAAAACTCACATGATGGACATGGATCAAAATGTCAGCAATCACTCTCTTTGGATGGCAGAACAATGACTTCCTCTTTTTACTCTGATATATTTTCTAAATTTCTTATAATAGGCATGTATCGTGATTTTTAAAATTCTTTGTTCTTTTGTGTTATGAGTTATACCCTCATTATGCATACAAATTAGTTCATTAGCAACTAGTTAGCAATGAATGAAGAAATAAATGAATCACAAAGAAATAAAAGATGTTGAGATTCTATTTGCAAGTTCAACTTTTGTCTTTATCTTCATCCAAGATTCACTTTCCCTATCATTCTGGCACTCTTTGTTCTTTTGTGTTTATCAGTGATTCTCAGGGGAGAGAGGGGGAAGGTGGAGATGGTGGACATTTGGTAAAGTCTGGAGACATTTTAGTTTGTCACGGTTTGAGAGTGGATTGTTGCTGGCACAGAGTGGGAAGAGGCCAGGGCTGCCAACATCCAGCTCTGCACAGGACAGTCCCCACCACAGAGAATTGTCCAGTGCCACATGCCAACAATAGTGCTGAGTTTGAGATATCTATGCAGATTTCTGGAGCCCTTTCTTGGCCTACCATCCCCCTTTCCAGTCCTCTGCCCTGCAAACTCCAGCTGTCTCAGCCTCCTAAGCTTCATTTTCTTACTACTTAACTCAGAGAAACCACTGTGCTCTGCTCAGGATTCCCTTTCTTACTTCCCGGTTCAGAAACTGCCTTCTCCAGGCAGAAAACCAAGGTGGTTGTAGGGCTTCTTTCATTTCTTTCCTTTCTCTGAAGGACCACAGTCCTGCACTGTGTTGTTGTCTTAGGTCAGAAAATAGTTGTCTTGTTTATTTTATCCTATTTTCTAGTTGTTTATGACGGAAGGATGAGTCTGGTCCTACTTATTCCATCATGGCCATTAGTATGTTTATTATTGGAAAGAAAACATCTAAAATGGTTGGTTTATTTAACTATTTTTAAATCTGAATAAAATTTCTGGTCTTAAGATTAAAAGCTATAACTTATCTATAATGTGCTTTGTATTTTTTATACTCATAACTTCAGTTTTGAAGAAATTTTGAGCTTAGCCTTAGACAATTATATAGGCTTTTATATCACTGTTAATTGATCACTAATTGATAAATGAAACTACAATCTGTTAAATTGGCAAAATATCATATAGGTTTAGAAACACATACTTGCTTTATTTAAAATTTAATGGTATCTTTTTATTTTTTAAAATATTTTTAAAAAGATTTTATTTATTTATTTGACAGAAATCATAAGTAGGCAGGGAGGCAGGCAGAGAGAGAGAGAGGAGGAAGCAGGCTCCCTTTTAAGCAGAGAGCCCGATGTAGGGCTCGATCCCAGGACCCTGGGATCACGACCTGAGCTGAAGGCAAAGGCTTTAACCCACTAAGCCACCCAGGCACCCTAAAACTTAATGGTATCTTGAGCCAGGTTTCTTAATTTTATGATCTTCATGTAGAGAAATCTATCTTTCTGAAAAAACCAGACTGATTTTCCTATTGTTAGTATTCTTAAGTCTTAATTCAGTCTTTCTACTATACTTGTGTTCTAAGTGTTTTTATTGTTTTTTTTTTCTGTTAAAGTATTATACAGAGAGAATTACCCAGTTGGCCCAGAGTAAATATTTGCACATGCTTAGATGGAAGAGGTTTTGCCAGCAGAGTAAGATTATGGAGCAACTTTATCCTCTTTACAAGGTAGGAAGCCTGGGAGCAGAACCTTTGGGCTGTCTTTTATAATGAAACAAAATGGTCAGCAAGCCTGTCAATATATATTATTAAGTATAGTCATCATACCTGTACATTAGATCTCTGGACTTATTCATCCTACATAGCTGCAAATTTGTATCCTTTTGATCAATAGTTCCTCACCCTGTAGCCCCTGGTAACCACTGTTTTAGTTTCTGCTTCTGTGAGTTTAACATTGTTTTAATTTGTCATATGATCATACAGTATTTGTCTTCCTCTGTCTGGCTTGTTTCTGTCTAGCATAATGTCCTCCAGGTCCATTCTTAATGTCACAAGTATTAGGATTTCCTTCTTTCTTGTAACTGAATAATATTCCATTTTAGATATAGATATATATACATATATAATATTATATAAATTAATATAAATAATATAAATAAATATATAAAATATATTACGAAGATGTGATATGTTATATATATCACATCTTCTTAATCCATTCATCCATAAACAGGCTCTTAGTTTGTTTTCATAGCTTGGCTATTGGGAATAATGTTGCAGTGGATATGGGAATACAGATAATCTCTTTGAGATACTGATTTTGTTTTCTTCAGATATGTACCCAGAACTGGGATTCCTAGACTATATAGTATTCCCATTTCTAATTTTTTGAGGAATCTCCATACCGTTTCTATAATGGCTGTACCAGTTTACATTATCACAACAATGTATCTTGTCTGTTTTTTTAAAAGTCATGGCTAGAGATGGGAAAGGAACTAATGGATGCACCTATTTGCTCTTCTGCCTGTGGCAAAAGATAATGGCACCTATTTTTTTTTTAAGATTTTATTTATTTATTTATTTGACAGAGAGAGATCACAACTAGACAGAGAGGCAGGTAGAGAGAGAGAGAGAGAGAGAAGCAGGCTCCCTGCTGAGCAGACAGCCCGATGCAGGACTTGATCCCAGGACCCTGGGATCATGACCTGAGCTGAAGGCAGTGGCTCAACCCACTGAGCCACCCAGGCGCCCCGTTTGGCACCTATTTTTAAGGATGAGATTTGAAGGAAACTTTGTATGATAGAAAATGCATTTTTCTTCATGGATTTGGCTTCCTCTGCTAAAAAGCCAAAGAGTGAAGAAGCCACCTTCAGTTACCAAACATCTGAATGCACTGACTCTTTGCTGAAGTCTCTCTCCTAAGAATGTGACTGCTGCCATTGTCAGTCAAGTTCAGAATGTGAAAGGACTTTGATAATCCAGGAGCCTCTTATTTGGCCCCCAAACAGCATTAGTCTATGTTTGGAAGCAAATGGAAGCAAATGACACAAGAGAATAAGGCTTGCAAATAACCATGTTCTGTCTCTGCCTTACTCTTATACAGAAACAAGTTGCCTACATTATGCAGGAGTACAATGATGCAGTCCAGAGAGCTGAAAGATTGTCTGTTGCACGGGAAAACTTCCTTATGGGAAAAAGCAATCCTTCTAACTTAGTCACACAGGAAGACCTGACTATTTACACAAAGTGGTTTGTGTGTCACCTACAATCACTCACAACCATTCACCACTACCTACAGGTGTGTGAAACATAGCTATGTGATGGTGTGGTGCCCTCCCAATGATGGTCAGTATTGTTTTCTCACACCTGTCACCTACTTTTGGATTGTCACTGTTTCTGTATTGTACTTACCATACAAATGACAGGAAAATAATGAGCCACTAGTTTTTTTTCTTTGAAACCTTTGAAAACTTTTTCTTTTGAAAACTTGCTCTAATGAAACCACCCCATTAATTTAGTTTTCTCAAAGATATCTCTGTTGTATTATTTCATATTCACTCTGCAAGTTCTTGTTTTCATCATCTTGTTCAGAATTTATGATGTCCAATTTAGATCCACTTTCTTATTCAGCAATATCTAATGAGGATCTGACATATGCCAGGTATGTGTCCAGGGCCATGAAGCAAAAATACGGTCTTTTGCTGAAGAGTAACTGGGTCCCGGGCTGGTAGGAAAATGGGCAACCAAATAGTCAACAGAAATATGATGTGGTAAGAAAGAGTACAATTCATATAAGCACAGAGCAAAGAGAGTCACAGAGGAGAGGCCCTAACCTAGGCCAGAGGCATCAGAAATGAGTGATGTGATCCTGTTTTCATTTCAGAAAGATTATTATTTTATTATTGATATTATTGATTATTATTTTTATATATTTTACATATTGTATATATTTTATAATATATATAATATAAATATATACTATATAAATTAATATAAATACAGAGATATATAATATATAAATAATATATAAATATACAAATAATGTAAAAATATATTTTATAATAATAATAATGTGATGATGATTATTATTTTGCCACCTAAATCTTTTCCTACTTCTCTACGGCTTATCTCAGTGATACCACCATCCGCAAAGTTACCCAAAGCAGAAACCTGGCCATCAGTCTAACTTCAGCCCTTCCCCAGCCAGTCACTACAGAGTCTACCTCTGAATTCTCTCTCCCCAGTCACGTGATATAATAACACTCTCCTCATAAGTCTCCATTCCCCGCTAAACTGTAGACTCTCTGAGCTTGGTCTGCAGCTTACTTCTTCTTGGTATCCCTAGCACTTCACGCAATGTCTTGTCCATCATGGATGCTTGATCAATGTAGACCCAGTTAGAGGTTAAGGTCGCTTAACACTGGTGATTGCAACAGGTCCCTCAGATCCAGATTTAGCACCCCATGGTTGAACAGGTTCCTAAGGCCCAACTCTCAGATTACTAAGTCTCCTCCATCAAAGGGCTGCTCCTGAACCTGAGTCTGGAAGCTTCTGTGAGAGTTGAGTTGACACTTGGCCTCTTGGTGGTGCTTTTCTCTAGTCTCTCCAGTATTTGCCGGTCTCCAAAGTGCTGAGCGTAGCTGTTGATGAAGATCCGGAGGCTGGTCAGGAGGATGAAGAGGTCTGTGTCAATGACATCAACCCTAACAACCAGGGTTCTGTATCTCCAGGCCCTGTGGATACCAGCATTTCAGGTAAGAAATTAGTCTTCTTTCCCCTAGGGTAATGAGAAGGAAGATTGTCGCTTTGCCCGTGTATTATTTTGTCACATGATCTTGCTTGAAATTTTTCTATATAGCAAGAAGTTAGATCTTCCTAATAAACAAGTTTTTAGTATTTTCTGATGAAAAAATATGTACCTTTCTTAGCCATTATTATCTCTATCTTTATAACTGGCAAATAAAGAGAGAAGAAAAGAAGCAATGAAATTGAAGTTGGGAGTTCTGGATTCTAGATGTGTTTCTGGCATGGCCTCACTGTGGGCCTGCATATTTAGGTCACTTCATCTCATTGGGCTTCAATGTATTTATCTCCAAAATAAACATTTCAGATTAAATTATATCTAATACCTCTTTCTGTTTGAATATGATATATTTTTAAAGTAATTTCCTTATCTGAATCAATTGAATGGTCTTCCTGCCCTTATCCTGTGTTAGAGATGACTAAGAAACCTAATTAGGTTTCTACTCTGAGTGACATATTTGCTTGGGATATGTACAGTGACACAGGAGCACCCGAAGAGACAGCCAGCCTGATTGTGGGGAGTCAGAGAAGGCATCTCAAAGGAAGGGAGTCCAAACTGGGTCCTTAGAAATGAACAGAAGTGAACCAGGCAAAAGGAGATAAATAAAGGCTCTCACCTTCTTCTAATTTGTTGTTTAATTTATAAATCATGCTCTTAGTTTGCCACAAAGGACTATGGGTAGTTCTCCTGCCACTAAGTCATTCCCCAAAGGGTCTGTTGGGTTTCTCCTATAGGCCCTGTGAAGGTGAGTGGTCTTCGCTCCCTCCCCCAGAAAGCCAGCATCAAGAGTTTGTCAGACAGGTGTGGCCCAGTGTGGTGCAGTGTCTAAATTATAGCAGAGAAGGTTGGACAAAGCAGAATGACCCTTCCTGTCAGCAGAGGAGAACTTGCCTCCATTTATCTCAAAGGACACTCCATTTTCTCTCCCCAGCTAGTGTTTATTGCTCTTCATGCTCTTGATTTTGGATTTTTTTAGGGCCGACAAGAACAGAAACTGCTTTTTTCCTGCCCCAACACACAACTGAAAGAGAAGAACTGAAACCTCTGCTGGGGCTCCTGCTCTCCCATTTCAGTATCTCCTATGACATGGAGGAGCTGCGGGATGCTGCTCAGGAAATGGAGCTTTTTAACTTGGTACTTGATGGACTCTTTCTTAATAAAAGATAGGTGTTCATGAAACAAAACACTACTATTTGCCACAAAGTTGGATATCTCTCCTGCCACAATTGTTTCTAGAGTGAGAAAATATAATAATAATAATGGGTGAGATTTAGATTGGCACTTGAAGTTCTCCTCTGTTAAGAGTTCTGGGACCCTTGAGTATACAACCCAGAGGCATTGCAGGATCGACTTTTCTGCAGAATTTAAAGAAAAAAGTAGGTTAGAGTCCATAGTGGATGATATAAATGTAGCCATTATTTGGCAAATTTGCATAATGGAGTTATCTAAAGTCTCCAGCCCTTTGATTCTCACAATGTGTTGTAATGGCTCTCCTTTGGCAAAATGCCTTATATATTCAATAGAGTTTATATTGCATAGTGATTTTTAAAATCGTGCAGTCTCCTCTGCTATAACAGTGTTGCACTTCCTTTAAAAAAGCCTCATATTAACAAAAGCCATGTTAGAACTTATTTCAAAGAGAAAAATAGGATTATGTATATACAGTTTCAAGTTTATAATATAAAGTTTTCAGCTGAAGCATCCACAATACAGATATTTATCTAGCTCTGGGTATGTAATATTTGCAAGTATATATATTTGCTAGGTAAAAGTAGTAAACTAATTGATCCAAACAAGCAAAAATCAAATCTGAATGTTTTTGAATGTCCTCTGTGTAAGAAGGAGCCACTATCTTCTCTATCACCACTTGCCTTGATATTCAGGTTTTACTTCCATGTGTGCTTTCTCTGCATGATTTTACTAGGATTATTTCTGTATGTAACACAGGCTCTTTATACTTCCTGAAACTGGTGGTATCAGATGTTCTTCAGTTTTTTTGAAGGTGATGATGTTTTAGCTCTTGCCTTTCTTTTCATTATCACCAGCAACACTATCTACAGAAGAGCACTTCTTCTTCTTTTTTTTTTTTTTTTAAGATTTTATTTATTTACTTACTTAAGAGAGCAAGCATGTGTGAGCAGGAGGGAGAGGGAGAGAGAATCTGAAACAGACTCTGAGAAGAGTGCAGAGCCCAACAGCGACTCTGTCTCACGACCATGAGATCATGAAACCAAGAGTCAGATGCTCCAGGCACTAGCCACCAGGCATCTCTAGAGCAGGGTGCTTCTATGGGAGTATCCTTACCCTCAGTATCAGCAAGTATTATGATAGATGAAAACTGGAATTGCAAAAAGGTGCTGTTTTAAAAGAGTCAAAATAAATACAAATAAATTATGACACAGTAGACTCTCATCAATGATAACAAAACAACATGAGGCTGTTTATCATATTGTCCCCAAAGAATAGATTATTTCCTTTATACAGTGATAGTGTCCAGTTCTGACTTTCTTATAACAGTATTACGTGCAATGCCTGTGTTCACAGAATGATCACATTACAACCTTTTTTTCAAAAGATTTTATTTATTTATTTGACAGACAGAGATCACAAGTAGGCAGAGAAGCAGGCAGAAAGAGAGGAAGCAGGCTCCCTGCTGAGCAGAGAGCCCGATGCGGGGCTCGATCCCAGGACCCTGGGATCATGACCTGAGCCGAAGGCAGAGGCTTTAACCCACTGAGCCACCCAGGGGCCCCTACAACACTTTTTTTATGTGTAGGAAGAGTTCTTCTATTTGAGTACTATTTATTCTGGTTCTCTAATTCCTTAGAGCAGGATAAGCCTGTAGTTCACTCTCTGCTTCTTATTTTTAAATAAAGTTTTATTAGAATTCATCCATAGCCATTCATTTACATATTACATTTGACTGCTTTCACACAACAACTGCAGAGTTGAGTAGTTCAACAGAGACCTGTGTATTGTCTGCAAAGGCTAAAATAGTTACTATCTGGCCCTTTAAGAAGAACTTTGCCACCCTAGCCCTAGACTAGTACTGTCTCCTTGAACTTCCTGCGCTGATGGACGGGATCTGAATCTGCATGGTTCGATATGTTACCCATGCAGCTATTGAGCACTTAAAATGTGGCTAGTGTAACTGAAGAACTAAATTTTAAATTTTATTTAATTTTGATGATTCACATTTAAATGTTAAACAGCCACATGTAGCTAGGGGCAACAGCATTGGATAGCACAGCCCACAAGGTACCAGCGTTAAGTGGAAGAATCTTTAGCTCTGTAACTCATTAAACTCATTCTCTCATTCCAGAAACCTTTGTTAAGGCCCCAGTATGTGCCGGCACTGTGGTAGGATCTATGTGTGTGTGCGTGTAATAAAATATACATAAGATTGACCATTTTAACCATTCATAAGTGCACAGTTTAGTGGCATTAATTACAAACACATTGTTGTGCAAACATCCCCATGTGGTTGGTTCTCGAGATTCAGTCTGTGCCCTCAGGAAGTTCACCAGGTAGTGAGGAAATCATGATGTAGTGTGGCCAGTGCAATGAGGAAGGTACTACCACAGGCTCAGTAAGCCTGGGCTCCCTCTGGAGACGGGAGGAAGAAGTGTTCTACATTTGGCAGGAGGAATTTATGTCACAGAAAGCACTAGTAGCCTCAGTCTGAAAATGAGAGGTGAAGGAATTGACAGAGATACCTTAAAGTGTTTTAATAGGTCCCAGCATCTGGACCCTTCTCTCTAGCAACATCTTGATCAGGTTTCTGGAATGAGAATTTATCTAACCTGTAGATTTTCTAGTTTACCAGGTGGCCAGAAAAAGTGAATGTATTTCTAAAGGTGGACTAATTTACTTCCCATTTAGGGTCCATCTCAAAATATATATAAATAAATATATTACATAATTTCCAATCTTTGTTTTTTTTTAATTTAACTTTATTTTTTCCAATGTTCCAAGATTCATTGTTTATGCACCACACCCAGTGCTCCATGCAATATGTGCCCTCCTTAATACCCATCACCAGGCTCATCTGACCCCCCCACCTCCCCCCTCCAGAACTCTCAGTTTGTTTCTCAGCATCCACAGCCTCTCATGGTTCATCTCTCCCTCTGATTCCCCCCAACTCTCTTTGGAGCAGATATTCAGAACAAGTAGTACATATATACATAATTATGGTAATGAGTTAGCTGAATATGTGTGCCCCACAGATACAGATATTCAACACCTGTTACTGCCACAGTCATGTTTTATGAATTAGTTTACCTCCCAAGACTGTCCCAAAGGCAACCAATAGCTGTTTTTTTTTTTTTTAAAGATTTTAGTTATTTATTTGACAGAGACACAGCAAGAGAGGGAGCACAAGCAGGGAGAGTGGGAGAAGGAGAAGCAGGCTTCCCATTGAGCAGGGAGCCCGATGCGGGGCTCGATCTCAGAACCATGGGATCATGACCCAAGCTGAAGGCAGACGCTAACGACTGAGCCACCCGGGCACCCCTCAAGAGCTGGTTTTGAAATTGTCTACAATCTGAGACTTTTTCTGGGTTCCACTTCTCTCTTCTTAATCCTATTTAGGTTTCCAAAAAATTCCGAAGCATCTTCATGGAACAGCAGAGAATGCAAACATTTCCAGATTATGATGCTGAGATAGCTAAAGTGGAGAAGTTGGGTTTGGCAGGTCCTGGTATGGCCTTGAAAAAGAGAGCTAACTGGACTTCCTTTATAAAGGTAAGGAGACTTGTGGTGACATTCACCTGTCACAAAGTATCCTCCAAGCAGGCCAGGCAACCTGGCAGCACCAGGTCTGTCACATTCCTACTGTCTCCTCTCCTCAATGCCCTAAGCAAACTGTCCCATGGGACAAATGGTAGGTGCTTGGCCCTGTACACCAGGTTCCCCCAGCTTCTTCCTGCTGTGTGTCTATGTTGAAGTTAGCTGCGTTGACCTGCCTTCTCTGGAAAGCCCCCATACTGTCTATTGGGTCCATTCTTCTTGTTAGTGAACTTGGCTGTTTGGCTAGAACCAAGAATAATACTCAAAGGTATAATGGAGTTGTATAAATCCAGCTTTTGAACCAAAAACTATTCACTGAGTATATACTATGTGTCAGGAATGACCCTTGGTTCCGGAGATACACAAATCACAAACAATACACAAGTAAGCAGATTAAACAAGGTGATTTGGGTTAATGGTAAGCACAGTTGATCCTCATTGTTTGGGGTAGCTATGTTCTATAAAGTTGCCACAAACCCTGAATTAACAAAAACTGAACCATTGCTCATAGGGGAAATAAAAGGTTAGGTTCATCAACTGATAGATACACAACCTTGCTTTATGTGTATTTCTGTTTAAAGATACTTTAATATATGTTTTTGATTCATTAACATTGATCTTATGGCCAATAGCAATATAACTCATGCTCAAAGCTTATCAAGCATAAATATTTCTTCCATAAGACATGTCATAGCCTTCCTGTACTTAGGAACACTAGGCAACCCCTCGACACTATACTTAGGGGCCACTTTAAACATTGAAATCAGCAACAAAAAACCACAAAAATATAGAAACGTGTCACTAACTAGACCACAAAAAGGACGCTTGTTTACAGAATGAGAGCTGGAACAAAAAGTCTGAATGTTGCTGTGTATGACCTCAGCTGGGAATGTGGAGTTGGGTGATTCAAAATTTTCACCATTCTTTGCATGCCCATGAATAACCAGGATAGATCTGCCAAAATTGATTTTGAGGTTATGAATAAATTTTAGTGAGGAAAATTTGCAAATACAAAATCCGTGAATAACGAGGATCAGCTATATTGTGTAGGAAAGAAGTCTTAAGTGGTAAAGATGAATGGATGGAAAGGAGAAAAATCAAAGATTACGCCTAAGGAATGGGGCTTGAGCAAATAGGTGATTGGTATAGAGAAAGCCAGACTTTCTGTTCTAAGTTGTTACATTTGCCTTCCCACTATAGATATCAAGGAGGTGGTTGGATATCACATACTGGAGCTTAGAGCTAGATATAAATTTGAAAGTTACAAGTACATTGATGTATTTATAGCTAATGTATAGCTAAATGTATTACAGAACTAATTTTTGAAATATTCCCTGTTAAGGGGTAAGGTAAAATTTTACATGTGGAATCTTTGTGGGAGAACTTCTCTTGCCCTATAGGTCAAGTGTGGTATCCAACGCTGATGGATTTAGGGTTCCTCCTGCACATGGATTGTGCTGTGTGATCCCAGATGATCTCATAAGCCAGGCACCAACAGGAACTGCTGCTGCCTTCTCCCTCCATGGATCATAAACCCATGCAGACCTCTTCCAAGTCTTCACATGCCCTAACAAACTTTCTAGCAGAGGCTAGATCCTATTTTAGAAGGTCCTTGAATCTCTTTGCTTGCAACTTTTATTGAGAACCATTCTGTTATGTTGTAACTTTGTGTGAACATGTTTGTCCACTAGATTAAGCCAAAATGTGATCCTTGGCAAAAGAAGATTTTGACTAGACTAAAAGAAAGGAGAAGAATAGATGTATTAATGCAACTCCAAGCAAAGTTTTTGAAGGTAAGAAAATAGCTATGTTCCCTTGTAGATAAAATTCTTGCTGAAATTATTCTCAGAAAATTGAATTTTCCTTCCTGTTTAAGAAATATTAGCCATTGATTCTCTATAAAGGCTTTATTTGGAACTTTCTAATTTAATTGCCCAAATTTTATAATACTGTTAATTTTCAGTAGAAAGTAACAATTGTTCCAGCTTTGGCACTAAGTCTCTATGTGGTATCAGTCTAGCCCCACAACCTCCATGAGTTTGTTTCCTCATCTTTGAAACAAAAATACTGGATGAAATTATCTTATTTAGTTGTGGCAAAAAGCACATGGGATAAAATTTTCTCATCTTAATCATTTTAAGTGCACAATTCAGTGGTGTTCAGTATTTTCACACTGTCATGAAACAGATGTACTGGAACTTTTTCATCTTGCCAAACTGAAATTCTGTACCTATTAAACAACAGTTCCCAACTTCCTCCTCCCCATAGTCCCTAGAAACCACCATTCTACTTTCTGTTTCTGAATTTTACCACCTTTACACACCTCATATAAATGGACTCATACAGTATTAGTCTTTTGGTGACTGGCTTATTTCACTTAGGACAATGTCCTCAAGATCTATCCATGTGGTTGCATGTGACCAGATTTCCTCTCCCTTTTTTTTTTTCAAGAACATTTTATCAGCTTTATTCTCAATAGCCCCTAACTGGAAACACCACAGATGTCTTTCAATGGGTAAATAAATTAATCGTGGTATATCCCATACCACGGAATACCAGTCAGCTGTAAAAAAACAAAACAAAACAAAACAAAAACAAAACAAAACAAAACAAACAAACAAAAAAAACAACAACAAACTAGTGATATACCCCAGAACCTGGATGCATCTCCAGATAACTATAGGAGTGAAAAAAAGTCAGTCCCATAAAGAGTGTATGAGTTCATTTATACAATGCTCTTGAAATGACTAAGAGAAATAAAGACAGATGAGTAGATTGTAGGGGAGACTGGTGAGGAAGGGAAAGGAGAATGGCTCTAAAAGAGCAACACAAGGGATCCTTGTGGTGATGGATCTCTTCTATGAGTTGACTATATCAAACTCAATATCCAAGTTGTGATACTGTGCTATGGTTTTGCAAAATGTTAACATTGGGGGAAATGGAGTGAAGAGTACATGGGACCTCTTTATATTATTTTCTGCCTCTTTTCTTAAATGGTGGTAAAATACATAAACCATGAATTTTACTATTTTAACTATTTTTAATTTTTTTAAAAGATTTTATTTATTTATTTGACAGAGAGAGATCACAAGTAGGCAGAGAGGCAGGCAGAGAGAGAGGGGGAAGCAGGCTCCCTGCTGAGCAGAGAGAACCCGATGCGGGGCTCGATCCCAGGACCCTGGGATCATGACCTGAGCCAAAGGCAGAGGCTTTAACCCACTGAACCACTCAGGCACCCCATATTTTAACTATTTTTAAAGTGTACAGTTCAGTGCCGTTTAGTATATCCATATTGTTGGGTAATCATCACCACCATCCATCACCAGAACTCTATATCCAGCAGACTGAAACTGTTTACCCATTAAACAATAACTCCTCATTCTTCCCCCCCTTTAGTCCCTGACGACTACCAGTCTAATTTCTGTCTCTATGAGTTTGACTGCTCTAGGTACCACCTATTAGTGAAATCAGACAGTATTTGTATTTTTATGACTGACTTCTTTTACTCACCCAGGTTCACCCATGTTGTAGGATATATCAGAATTTCCTTCCTTTTTAAGGCTGAATAATATTCCCTTATGTATATCCATCATGTTTTTTGAAAATCTGTCTGTTGATGGATGTTTGGGTTGCTTCCGCCTCATGACTATTGTGAATAATGCTGCTATGGACATGGATATGTAAATACTTTTTTGAAATCCTGCTTTCAGTTCTTTTGGGTATAAACCCAGGAATAGAATTGCTGGATCATAAGGTAATTCTGTTTTAATTTTTTTGAGGAACCTCCATACTATTTTCCATAGCAGGTGCAGCATTTGACAATACTATCAGCTTTGTCTGGTAGGGTTCCAATTTCTCTGAATTCTCAACAGCCCTTGTTATTTTCTTCCTTCCTTCTTTCCTCCCTTCCTTTCTTTCCTTCCTTCCTTCCTCCCTTCCTTCCTTTCTTCCTTCTTCCCTCTCTCCCGCCCTCTCTCTCTCCCTCTCTTCTTCCATACCTTTCTTCCTTCTCTTCCTTCACCTCCTCCTTCTTCTTCTTGTTACTAGCCATCCTAATGGATGAGGTGATAATCTCATTTTGGTTTTGCTTTGCATTTCTCTGATGATTAGTGATTTTGAGAGTCTTGATATGTTTATCAGTCATTTGTATATCATATTTAGAAAAATGTCTGTAGAAGTCCTTTGCCCATTTTTTAATTGAGTTATTTGATTTTAATTGTTGTTGTGCTGTAGGAGTTCTTTATATATTCTGGATATTAACCCCTTATCAGATGTATGATTTACAAATATATTCTCTCTTTCCGTGGGCTGATTTTCACTTTGTTAATTGTGTCCTTTCATGCACAGAAGTTTTAAAGTTTTAGGTAGTAACATTTATCTACTTTTGCCTCTTTTTTTTTTTTTTGCCCGTGTTTTGGTGTCATATCCAAGAAATCATTACCAAATTTAATGTTATGAAGATTTTCCCCTGTTTTTGTCTAAGAGTTTTATAGTTTTAGGTCTTATGTTACCATCCTTAATTGATTGTGAGTTAATTTTTTTCTTTTATTTTCTTTTTTTAAATTAACATATAATGTATTATTTGTTTCAGGGGTACAGGTCTGTGAACTGTCAGTCTTACACAGTTCACAGCATTCACCATAGCACATACCCTCCCCAATGTCCATCATCCAGCCGCCCCATCCCTCCCACCTCCCTCCCTTCCAGCAACCTAGTTTGTTTCCTGAGATTAAGAGTCTCTTATGGTTTGTCTCCCTCTCTGGTTTCATCTTGTTTTATTTTTGCCTCCCTTCCCCTATGATCCTCTGTCTTGTTTCTCAAATTCCTCATATCAGTGAGATCATATGATAATTGTCTTTCTCTGATTGACATATTTCACTAAGCATAAAACTCTCTAGTTCATCCACATTGTTGTAAAAGGCAAGATTTTTGGTTTTTTTGATGGCTGTGTAGTATTCCATTATATATATATATATTATCTTCCTTATCCATTCATCTATTGATGGAGATCTAGACTCTTTCCACAGTTTGGCTATTGTGGACACTACTGCTATAAACATTGGGGTGCAGATGCCCCTTAGGATCACTACATTTGTATATTTAGGGTAAATACCCAATAGTGCAATTGCTGGATCGTAGGGCAGCTCTATCTTCAACTTTTTGAGGAACCTGCTTACTGTCTTCCAGAGTGGCCGCACCAGCTTGCATTCCCACCAACAGTGTAAGAGGGTTCCCCTTTCTCCACATCCTCATCAATACCTATCATTGCCTGACTGGTTAATTTTAGCCATTCTGACTGGTGTGAGGTGGTATCTCACTGTGGTTTTAATTTGTATTTCCCTGATGCTGAGTGATGTTGAACACTTTTTCATGTGTCTGTTGGCCATTTGAATGTATTTTTTGCAGAAATGTCTGTTCATGTCTTAAGCCTGTTTTTTGATTGGATTGTTTGTTCTTTGGGTGTTGAGTTTGATAAGTTCTTTATAGATTTTGGATACAAGCCCTTTATCTTATATGCCATTTGCAAATATCTTCTCCCGTTCCCTTGGTTGTCTTTTGGTTTTGTTGACTGTTTCCTTTGCTTTACAAAAGATTTTTATCTTGATGAAGTCCCAATAGTTCATTTTTGCCCTTGCTTCCCTTACCTTTGGCGATGTTTCTAGGAAGAAGTTGCTACGGCTGAGGTCGAGGAAGTTGCTGCCTGAGTTCTCCTCAAGGATATTGGTGGATTTCTCTCTCACATTGAGGTCTTTCATCCATTTTGAGTCATTTTGTGTGTGGCTTAAGGAAATGGTCTAGTTTCATTCTGCATGTGGCTGTCCCATTTTCCCAACATCATTTGTTGAAAAGACGATCTTTCTCCATTGGACATTCTTTCCTGCTTTGTTGAAGCAGGTCCTCCCTTTGTTGGGTCCATTTCTGGGCTCTCTATTCTGTTGCATTGATCTCTGTGTCTGTTTTTGTGCCATTACCATACTGTTTTGATGATTACAGCTTTGTAATAGAGCTTGAAGTCTGGAATTCTGATGCCACCAACTTTAGTTTTCTTTTTCAACATTCCTGGGTATTCAGGGTCTTTTCTGGTCCCATATAAATTTTAGGATTATTTGTTCCATTTCTTTGAAGAAAGTTGATGATATATTTTTTAATTTTTTTATTTTTTCAGCATAACAGTATTCATTTTTTTTGCACCACACCCAGTGCTCCATGCAATCCGTGACCTCTACAATACCCGCCACCTGGATCCCCCAACCCCCCAACCCCCGCCCCTTCAAAACCCTCAGATTGTTTTTCAGAGTCCATAGTCTCTCATGGTTCACCTCCCCTTCCAATTTCCCTCAACTCCCTTCTCCTCTCCATCTCCCCTTGTCCTCCATGCTATTTGTTATGCTCCACAAAGTTGATGATATTTTGATAGGGATTGCATTAAATGTGTAGATTGCTCTAGGTGGCATAGACATTTTCACAATATTTGTTCTTCCAATCCATGAGCACAGAATGTTTTCCATTTCTTTGTGTCTTCCTCAATTTCTTTCATGAGTGTTCTATAGTTTACTGAGTATAGATTCTTTGCCTCTTTGGTTAGATTTATTCCTAGGTATCTTATGGTTTTGGGTGCAATTATAAATGGGATCAACTCCTTAATTTCTCTTTCTTCTGTCTTGCTGTTGGTGTATAGAAATGCAACTGATTTCTGAGAATTGATTTCATTTTATTTATTTTTTAAAATTAATTATTTTTATTAACATATAATATATTATTTGCCTCAGGGGTACAGGTCTGTGAATCATCA